ATTGCAGTGAAAATAATAACAAAAGGAAAACTGGTTGCGTCAGCGTCCTGACCAAAGTCCAGGACTTAATTCAAACTGCCTGTCTAAATATCCAAGTACCCAGAAAAATGTCGTCCCTTGAAGAAAATGAGTTGATAGATATGCTTTCGTTGAATTTCGTTTCGGTTTATGCAGAAATATGGAAAAGAAAATATGTTTCTTACAATGAGAATGTAAGAACGTCTGCACTCTGCACGTGATCAATTCACGAGAATTGAAAAAAGTAGACCTGATTAGACTCGACTATTGGACAAGATTTGGCAAATAGTACAAAGTGATTTTATTGATATGAATGGCAACTCCTCGACAAATAAGAGTAAGTAATCAATCATACATAACGATCACTTGCGCCGAATAAACATAACGAAAAATTTCTTGAGTGTAAAATGTGTGAGTTTATCAGTACTAATAATGGTAAAAAAATTCTACAAGTACTTTTACTTCAATTTTGGAAAAACTGAAACGTTAAAGAACTGACGTGAAAAATTTTGTATGACAGTCAAGTATCAAGGAGATTAAGTTTATAGCCTAATCAAGAGGAAGGGAATTAACTGCGACACAGAAAACGCAAGATGTGCTGATCCACTCGTGCGCAGCCGTACGATGAGGAGTAATTGTTTACGACAACGAAAATTTTAAGGGAAATAAGTTATTACGAAGGACTTACCTAACATGGAATATAGAAGACGAAGGCTGAACTCGTGAAACGCCTGACTTTCAATATAGTGGAAACTTTGTCGAAGTTAACCCGACTTTTGTAATGTCGGTTACCATACCCTGAATGTGTACTTTGGACGCGAATTTTGAAATATGTAACTCGTTGATATGCGTAGTTGTTTTTGTCAAAAGTGCAAAGTGCATGAAGACAACTAGTTTTCACTGATGCCACATATGTATTTTTTTGCCATGAAAAAATAATCAAAAAGTACATTTCGAAGAAAAAAAAGGGAATTATCTTTTGGCCCCCAATCCAGTCTCTTGAGATGTTCTGAGATGTAATTTCTGGAGCAATCTACATTCAAGTGACGACACCGTCAGCAAACAAACGATTCTCTTATCATATTTTTTCCACCACGATAACCTTCCACTAACACCTTTAAAAGTAAGTTTGAGAGTTAAATTTCCTTTCTGATTAAAGTTTAGAAGAAATAGATAATATCTTCTATCGAATCTGGTAGAAATTTTGTGGCTGATCCTCATTGTTAACATGCAGTACTGAGGCAGAAGTCACAACTGACTACGAGCAGTCAAATGTCATTTTCTTGCTTGAGCGTCAATAACGGTTGTTCGCCTTAGCCGGAATTTTTTCAGTTTGCCAGGGTCGCTTTCGATGAAGACCTCAATCTGCGCGGAAATCTGACTTACTCTTTGACACTTCATTGGAACAAACTCAAACTCAGTGACCAGACTGGAACCGCTAAATTTCAGGCTACCTTCACTTCACTGGAAACCAAGTTCAAAACAATATTAAAACGATAAAACAAACCTTACGTAAAGCGGTAATAACTAAAAAATAACTCAAAATACAGATTTTTGTATTCAGTTTGGCCTGACTGGAGCACGCCCTTTGAAACTATTAAGTCAGTCGGGCCTCTGCGGTAGACTCTGCGGTGAGGCACGGCAGGACCTGCCGTAAAAAAAAAGTCGTGCCGAACTGAATGGTTTCAAGCGTCGTACTACTGTGTGCTGAAATCCATTTTACAGCTTGAATTTAGATCGTCAGTTCAAGGTTATAACGCAACGTTTGGAACAGATCACTTACCAGTTAAAGTCTGAACAGGCAAGCCACTAAATTGAAGGGAGTAGCGTAGGTGTGTCAGCGTGTAGTGCGCGTGAGAGGCATGTGAAGGAAATAACTGAGGCATTAGTGGCTTATATGTACCTTGGACTTGCTTTAAATGTAAACGTTTTGGACGATATTTTCGCTGAATAAGCTCAAAAGTAAAAACGACTTATCTACGAGTTTGATCTTGCAACTTTTTTAATGTTTTGGCCGGGTGAAGATGGCGAGAAAAAGTTTATTTTATCTCCCTCTCTCTTTTCAAGATAAAGGTAAAAGTAGTTGAAGTAAAATAGAACAATTCTGCCGCTGACGTAATCTCTTTTAGTAGACACTAAGACCCTGTTTACATGGAGTGGGGGACCCCGGTCTAGTGGGGTAAGTTTCTTTTGTTTTGTGTCCCCCAGAGCGTGAAAACAAAAGAAACCAACCCCACTAGACCGGGGTCCCCCACTCCATGTAAACAGGCCCTTCAGCAAGTAAATGATTTAAATGTACTGCAGTTTAAAACATCATACTCTGCTGAAAGTGTAAACCAGGGAGAAAAGGAATTCAACGCAGTTGATCAAATTCTCTGTTACCGGCGGAAGGAGTGAACCCCAGAGGCAAATGCCCGGAGTAATCCCGGACGAGTGGACACGTCAATCGCTCTTAGAATCTCTTAGCATTCTTAGGCCAAAGAGACTGAGACAATGTTTAAAATCGTTGAGTTTTTTAAACAATTCCTGCCAGTTAGAATACTGAGAGAAATCAAGACTGACTAACTTAAAATTCGCAACAAATATATCAAAATAGTCGACTTAAGAGCAAAGCCTACCATTCGTAGGGCAAGGACATTGCAACATTGGGTTTGCGATAATTCGTTGAGTTCTTCAAAACAGACCAATTCTTACCGGTTAGCACAGGGAGAGAAATCAGGGGCACCCAACGACTTTTTGCTGTAAAATAACTGTTCGGAGAAGCAAATATATTGCCTAGATTTTTCTATTACTTGAGGACGGCTAAACATTTCTAGATGACCATTCCATTCCTGTACAAGTTTCGTGTCTTATCTAATAAATTCCCTACGATTTTCTGACGTTTGATTTTTCACATTTCACTCCCCAGGTTAGGCTCTTTTTCCTAGACAAAAGGAAACCTAAAATATTCGGATTCAAAAATGTGACAGAGAGGGGAGAGAGGAATCATAAAAATTCTCACTTTCGTAATACGTTAAAATGCATCTAAATATTTTCGGGAAGAAAAATCATAATGAAGCCCTTGTAATTTGGAAAAAACTCAAGTTTCTCTAGGATGACCGAACAGGTACAAATTTTATAGCTCAGCTTATAGCTCAGTGGCGACAGGAAAATATCTCATACAAGTTTCTAATAGTCAAAGGACAAAAATATCGTTACGTCAACATTAGGTTCTATACCTGGGACTCAATGTTTAGCGCGGCGCTTGTACGTGTTTCGCACTGATAAATTGCACGCTGCTCTGACGCTCGATTTATAACACCGTGAACAAATGATTGATTTCGAAAATGTAGCCTGATACTTATCTGTTTTTATTTTGAAGAATTATTTCAATATTTCTAGCTAAATACTTTTGGATAAATAATTTAAGTTATTAAATTAAAAAGCTGTCTACCTCACCAACCGTTCTAAACGAAAAACAAATGATGATGGTCATGAAGACAATTCACGAAAAGCAAGACAAGTTCTGTTGCAAAAAATCAACAATCATCTACTTAAAAGAAACCACTGCTGTGTGAGAACAAGGACTATTGAGATCTGTGACCTTTGAACAATGGTCAGAGAGCATCGTCCCAGTGTTGACAAATCTAACCGAAAGCTTTCGTTTAGTTAATCATTCTATATAAAATTCAAACCCTCTGAACTGACATCATAAGCTATTTCCGACCTTACTATAATCACGCTTGTTGGAGTATAGGAGATGATAGGCGAAACAACTTTTTTTTGTCAGCTATAGAGATGTCACGAAGAACTAATATGTTTTACCTTCTTGTTGTTCTTGAGTACACTAGTTGAAAACGACAGGAAGATTACGTATATTCAAACCGAGGCTAAAATTGAACCACCGCAATATTTGAGTATCAACATTATCCCTCCCATCTCCCTGCCCCTTTAAGCCTACGAAAGCCTAAAACAGATATCAGCCAGTGTTCAACTAGCCTGCATAACACTTGCTTTAAGAGCCAAGCGAAGCGAACGCGGTATTTTGCGCGAAGCCCGCCGCGTTCGCCTCTCTTGGCTCATAAAGCGCCTGTTATGCAAGCTTGTGTTCAACAAAATGGCGCTCTAAGTCTTTTCTTATTGACCAATCGTAACATCTAAACATTGTTTATTATGATCAGTGTCAAGAAGATTAGAAAACCATTTATCTGTCGCTAAGATTTTAAATTTGTCGGGGGATTTTTGCCGCGGTCTAAGATAATTAGCCTTTTTTACAAAGGCTGCCCTTAACATGAACCCAACTCATGCAAGTGAATTTGTTTTGCAAAGCTGCTATGCAAATAGACCAGCAATGCAACTTTTTTTTTTTTGTTATACAGTTTTTAACCCAGCAGGAGAACTTTATAATTTAGGTCGACCCAAACTTCACAAACTGTGTTCGGCATATGTGAAGTACGGTGTTTGATCCGGGCCTTTCGTCAAGTGATAACCATCCAATCTCCTGAACTTTTTCCAAACTTAGTAAGTTAAGTTATGAACCGCGGTTCGACGTCTGGCTCAGTTAAGTTCGTCTGAATGAGTTCGGACGTCCAACACATTCCATCCGTCTGAAGCAGACGAACAGAACGTCTGAAGATCGTCTCCGGGACAAACGTCGATCATCACATGCGACGAACTAGACTAATAAATTAAAAATTTGTATGATAATGCATATTTAGCCTCGTTCGTGAGAATATTTGTTAAAATTGCTTTTTGATAGGTTCGACTGGCGCGTCCTAAGTTCGACGTCTGACCCAAAAGAAGATCTTAACTTAACTTAGCTCCACCCAAATTAGAGTTTGGCTGGTCTCAGGAAAAGCTCCACGTTTGTTCTAGGCCTAACAAATATCAGTGCAGAATCAAATTAAACTTGAGAAACAAGAAAAACAGTACTAATGGAGGTTATAGGTGAAAGCGTCCTGAGCGTGATCTAAGTCGCTCTCATAAAATTAAAGCTGCGTTTGTTATAGAATCCTACATATATTCTCTGGTTCTACCTCCTTATACGATGCCCTTTTCCTTCTTAAATAAAGCGTTCTCTTCGCATCTTCTTTCTCGAAAATCTTAGGATTTAGATCGATGATCGTCCATTCGCCAATCGGTGAAAAGAACACCGAGCTTTCGGAAATTCCATGGGCATTTTTGTTCATTGTATGACATCTATCCACACTCTTGGTTCGACGAACTGGTACGACTCCAACCTTGTCTTTGCTCATTATTCCAAAGTAACACTTCTGTATCCGTCGATTGTACCTAACTGCACCTGATTCTGCTTTTTTCTTCAACTGAGATCGCAGACTTACGTACTTAAATTCCGTCTTAATTGTGCTGCGATCTTTCCCCTCTTTGTCTTTAGTGAGTTCAACAGGAGTCAAATCTGCTGTGTTAAGAGTGTTTCTCAGAGCATTTGACTCAGTTAGCTGGCTATTGTGGTTTTCCTCATCTACGTTAAGAATGTCCTCGATTGTATGAAGAGGTTTTCGCTTTCCACAAAGGCTTCCGTTCGTTTCGATACAACACGTAATTTGACAGGCAGGACCGACTAAGTCCTTCTTTCGAGTCATTGACGAGCTTTCTGGTTTTGCTTGCTCTCCTGCAACACAAAAAAGGCTGATTCGTTTACACAACATTTTTATAAAGCTCATGGGAATTGCAACGGTGGCAAATTAAGTTGGTCTTTCGTTTTCATATGCTTCGTTTCAAGTTAAGAGTTATTTTGAATTCTGCAGATGCAATAGAGGCAATTACGGCTAATTAACATAAACCTAAAGAAAAGTTAATTTTGCCACTCTTGGACGAAGCGGGTTTTTCTTGGTGTTGCAGAAACTACGAATAAGGTCTGTGAACAGAAACACAAGCTTTTAGCCAGGAATTAGTACGTGGCCCTCCACCAATTGATATGGGGCCAAAGACCTCATTCTACTAGGGGGGTTTGAAATCACTGACTGAGAATCAACAAGATGTGCTTTTTATTTATTTATTTTCTCCTGAAAGCGGCCGGCCACCTGGCTAAATGCGTCGTTCACTTTTAAAGAGCAAATTGGCACTGTTTATGCAAAAATTGATGGATTTACAACTTCTTGGAATCTACAATTACTCTAGCAAATGTAAAAATTTCATCATAATTAAGTTACAGTGGCTTGCTAATTATATAAATTAAGATTAAGGTGTAAATGTTATAACCAGGATGTGGAGGCAATTGGTTACTTTTCTTGCCCCATACTGATCTTTATGTTGTTCATCTACTTTTCAATGTGCCAAACGTAAAAAGTTTCTACATAGCTCGCGACTTGTGTACTTGATATTTTTCTTTATTCTCAACATTTAAAGGCTATGCTATTTTTCTCTTTCCCACAATAAGGAATTAAACTAAAGAATTGCAGGCGAGGATGTCGGTCATAAAACAAAGATATTGATTAATTGATTGATTGATATGATGTGTTCCTCCAAGAGTGACTCATTTAATTGTGAAAGAGTGGGTTGAGTTTGCATGTTATATTTCGTCCACTTACACCCTGCAAAACAGGTGCATGAAAAATTTGAGCGCAAAAAAACAGCAATACTGCCAGCCACGTGGAACGAAGACGCGCGCGCGAGGAGAAAGAAAACTAAAAGTACCTCTCTCGTTGTGCCTGTCCTTCTCTCACGCGCTAAGCCTACTCAAATGAGACTCAGACTACTAAAATTCTGCTTCCAAAAAATAATGTTGAAGCTTCTACGCAATAGACTAATCAACAGTTTACATAAAATATGCCACATATAATGTTATTATTGCATAATTTATGTGGTGATTAATTTTAGCCTGTGTGTCTCCAAAGAGAGACAGCAGTGCTAATCACTATTCTGTAAACCGGAATGGACGCCTTGGAAATGAACTTAAAGAACTTCGAATATACTCTCCTTCTCCCTCTATCCTATTCCAAAGTTGTTTCTTTTTAAAAGGTTCTTTTATCGCCTTTATACAGTGAAACCTCGATGTAAAGAAGGGCCAAGGGACTGGCAACATTTGTACGAGGTTTCGTTATATCGAGGTTCTTTTTCATATATTTTACTATTACTGGGGCAAAGAAAATCGTTCGTTATACCAAGGACTTCGTTAAATAGAGGTTCGCTATATCGAGGTTATTAAGGCTGGGTGCAGAACCTACCCAAACCATTTCCTGTCCAGCGATTTCTCAGAAAACTCGTGAAAATTACTTTTGTGATGATCGACAACTTGTTTTTCAAATTCGACGGTGAATATAGGTGGCCAAGTATACAATGGTCACGAAATAGAGTGGAGAAATCATTATAAAAAGCCGGCGGCGAATATCGGCGCCACAATATTGCAAAACGATTTTGCGTTTTACTGACATTTGAAAGTGAGGTCATAACCTGCTGGTTAACAGTCTTATCGATTCGCCTTGAGAGACCTCTGCTTGCAGTGAACGTGCTCTGCCGCACGCTATAAACGAGATACATGTCAGTTTAACCCTTTAAGCCCCAATATCCACATACAAATTCTCCAGACCGATCTTTATACATTTCCTTCAAGAATTGGTTAAGATAATTTGTTTGTAGATCAAAGCTGTTCCCATCAGGTGATTATTTTATTAATTCTCACAACATTTTCCCTTGATTGTGTATTGATTTTGTTGAGAGAAAATTGACTTTGGTCACTCTTGGGACTAAGAAGGTTATAACAAGGGTCTTCGCTAAAAATAATAAGCGTAGGTATATGGTTTCGTAGGCTGCCGGCCTACATACTTTCTAAGGTACTAACACAAAAATGATTTTGCTTAAGATAAAGAGAGGTGGCGTGTATTTTTCTAAGGCGGAAATATGGGACACGAGACTTGCGAGACTAGAGACGTGAAAATATTTTCCCAGTTTGTGTTTAAAAATATCGATACAGTGATTCAACCAATACTTGCGTTACCGTTCTTCATAAGGTGAAATTTTAACTTTTGTAAGGTCTGAATAAAGAAATAGGGAGAATTAGGCGACTTCCCTTTGCTCAGTAGAAACTGAAACCCAGGCATATGGACCTGTAAACCACCTTACTAAAAAGTCAAAAGTAGAAGACACCGATTCGAAAAAGCCCAAAAAATAAATTATACGATATTATCTCCAGCTACCAAATGAATATTTTCGCTGGAATATCGTTTTCGGTGGTTTAGCTAAGAGAATTCAAGACTGGTGAATTATCCTAAAAAACACTGCCCCCTCACGCTTTCGGGACTTTGGATAATTTGACACCTTCAGTTGGTTTCGTACGACTGGTACAAAAAGTCCTTTTTTTCGGGTTTTTAAAGCGGTTGGCAGCATGCACTTCTCGCTGATAAGATTTAATACATCTAGCCGAAATGCCTTAGAAGTAAAACTATATCATCGTCGTTTTTATCATCAAAGGTGGCAGGTTGTACATTTGACCTACAGCAATACACACACATAAAGGAACACATGTTTAAGGTTTCGTGACTGACAAATCCTCTTAAAGTGGGATCTAAAATGAAGTGAGAAAACAGAAGAACACTATTTTAAAAGCTTTCCTCGCACTTGTCTAATTTGCCTGAGTATAAACAAACTACTGGCCTGAATGTTAAAGTAGCGAAACTATGTCACACTGAACTACATGTATAGCTCGCTGACACGCGGAAACTAAGGCTATTCCGGGTCTGTCATCACGATTCCTTTCCTTGAGAAATTTAGTTTTCTTATTGGTAGTATTAAATGGAAGCAAACTAAAACCATTACCCCTTTTGTCAAAGACTTCCGCCAAGTGTTTCACTCCTTCCATGTGATTTTCAAGTTTATGGTACGGTCATTGATTTTCCTATTACTGCTCTTATTTATTTTAATTTTTTGTTTTCGGTTTCTTTCTCTGAATTCTGAAATGACAAGCTTAAAGCTCAACTGAATAATATTTCTATTTATATCAACGATTAATTTTGCGATGCTTTTTGTTTCAACATTGCCAGGCACTTGTGATTCGCTTATTTGAGGCCTTATTTGGTAGTTAGTTGTTTACAAAAAGGACTCACGATCCTTGGGTAAACGCGCTACAAATAAGCATTTGAAATGTCACTTACCTTACAACGTTCCTCGCCTTCGTGTATAAGTTGTGTATAAAGCAACACGCGGTTTGACTTACACAAGGAGAATAGAAGAGTTCCGCTTCAGTCAAAACCACGCGCGGTCGCCAAACAGGAAATGAACTTTAGTCAGGGAGATGTTATCCACCTCTGACGTAACTGTAACGTCACACTACGGCGTCATGTATTTGCGAAGACTCCTATAAGGGGAAATATAGAACAAATTTTCGTACTGCAGTACTATTTCCCATCAAACTTTCTATAAACTCCCATACGAACTCTTATGTTACCCTTGGGCCGCCATTTCGTTTCGTGATAGCTTCTTATCCGATTAATCCTGGATAAATTCAGGATTTAGGTATAGGTGAGGTGTGGATGAGTCATTTATGTCAGAAAACTGTTTACAAAAGTCCTTTAAAAGGGAAAGCCCTGAAAAGAAGGTTGCAGTAAGAAGTAAGAGCATGATCTGACTAGTGCAGTTCCAATGGCCCTAAATAGGCTATAAAGGAAAACAGGAGGAAATATGTGTGCTGGTCCAAAACTGAGATGGCTGTATGAATATAGATTTTCAAGTGGTTCACTCTAAATCCTGCAAAATGGGGGAAAATTGGCCTTAATTGCAAATTGCGGAATACCAAACAATAGACCGTTAAAGATAGAGAAAAACAGGTTTGTCAATGAAAAGCGTAACGGCGTAACGGCGTAACGTGTAATTGGCGCTACGCGGAAAAAACGTAACCCAACGTTGTATCTTTTAAACTTTGTCCTGTGTTTTTTCTTTTCTATTTTGCCATTACGGTAGCCCTTTTAAAACTGAATTATTACAATACAACACATAAATACACCGAAAAGCATTTATGACCATTTATGACCCCTCTATTTTATTTTAGTAAAATAGAGCTAGAGCAGACTACGAGTTGTTCCCATTTTTCCTCAGGGATAGTAGAGCGAGCGAAACGTGAGCGCGCGTGAAAATCAACCCACGCGAGAAAGGCGAGACTCACCGCCGCGTCTCACCTTTCTCGCGTGTCTAGAGCTAGAGCCCATTTAGAAACCTACTTGAGGGGCGCTCCTCGCCGTCGCGCGGGCTAACATGTTTCGTGCCAACGAGCGAGGCAAACGCGTGAGGGGAAGCCAAACTTCTCCCTCACGTGTTTGCCTCCCTTGCACACACGTAACGTCCTCCCCATGCCAGTCGCCAGTGAGACAATCCTGTAGGACTGCTAGCGAACTAGTGCTTAGACTTCTAGGCATTAAGGCTGAACACTAAAATATTATTCAAGTGTGGAGAAAACAATCTTATACACTGCCTCCATCTTCTTCAAAGCGAGCTAACAAAATGGAGTCAAAATCCAATTGCTCTCTTTTATCCTTAAAGAGGGAAACAGGTACGAAAAGCTTATTTCAAAAATAATAATTAATGTCCTATAAAACATTAACATAAAAGGTTAAATTTTATTATGTCGGGTTCAACAGAAAGCTTAAACTTGTACTTTCATTCGCTAAAATGTCAAGGACAAATATTTTCTTCAAGAAAATAATTTTAGACAGTGTTAAACAACACTGGCCTGAATTTTAGACATTCCTGTCTCTGAGGGAGTATGCAACTGGAAGATACGTCTGAAATCCAGGCTAAAACAACACAGCCCTTTTCAGTGAATGTGTTTTAGTTCTGGTGAGAAGGCAACATCGTTAGGTTTGAAAGCAGTTATGTCAAAACCCCACTCTTAATACAGTTATGTCAGTAAATGTCATGTTTTATTAATAATTTCACAATTTTCTCTATAAATATACATCTAATATAATTCGTTTTGATTATACTCTATTGTTCATACAAAAATCTTTAATAAAGATAACTGGATAAGCCAAGATAAGATTTTCCCTTCCCAGACTCTTTCAAACAGATAGCTTGTGAGCTCAGTCTATTAACATATTATGAGGCCCTGTTAGGGTAAATAACATCTCGAAACAGCAACATAGTACAGTAGAGATGACAACAAACAATAAAAAGATGGAATGACCCTGCAACAGTGACAGGGAAAAGTGCAAATACAATAGTAAAATACTTACAGCTACATCTCTCTTGGATTCCTCCTCAATACAAGTAGCCTGTGAACAAGCTCTCCATTTGGGGGAGTCGCAAGAAGTCACACAAGAGCAGCACGCAAAAGGAGATGCGAGTGTGAGGGGCGGGAAAGATTTGTCCTCCCCTCACGGCTTTGCCACTCACTCTTGCGTTCTCTCCAGCTTGCTTCGCTTGCCATACATGGAGAGCTTGCTAGCAGGCTACAATACTAGAAAACACAAGTATTGAAATTCAGACCAAGGATATATGATACCCAACCAAGTGGGCCACTATTATGAGACCCCCAACCTTCACTCAAGGGAAACAAAGCTCTGCTGTTCCCTATGACCAGGCCAATCATTAAGTTTTGTTTCTCCTTCCAACTCAAAAATAAAACAAATAACAAGTTAAAAGAAAAAATTACTTGATCCCGCAAAAAAATGAAAAATGCCCCAAAACCCCCTTGCACCCTTTTTGCAAGAACCCTTCAATGCAAAAAATGCCCAAAATTGTCAAATGCACCTTTTTCCACCAACCCGTTCAATTATGAAAAAGTTTTTTGGGCATGCTCGCAAAAAGACAAATTCACTTGGTGAAACTGGCACAAAGTTTTCTTACCGTGTCAAGGTACAAGACTTGAAAACATGCAAGTCTAAGTACCTAGCAACTTGGTTAAGTGCATTTTGCTTAGTGACTTTTGACACATGTCATGTGACACATTCTTGTCCACTCACAAAAAGCACTTGAATTGGAAGGTATAACATAACTGAATGATTGCAATGAGTGCTTATTACTAGTCTTGTATGTACACTGTTTTTGCTTGTTGTTAGGGCTGCTGATTAAAAAGGACCATTTGAAGGGACAATGATGTACCTTTCAAACCGAGTGTAAGTGTTTTAAGCCGTGATTTCTGTCTTTTAGTTGCTTCCTTGGACACAAAACTTTACTGAAAACATTATCATTATACTTTAAGGGTTGTCATTTAGGTTTGAACCAGATGTGGCAAATGGAGATTCACCCTAACATGTCACAAAAATTTATAGTGTTGCTTTTAGCTTTCCACTTTGATCACCCATAACACCAAGTGAGCTCAGCCGCAAAAGGTGTTAAGTGTTACGACCCATAATGACAACTCTGCTTGTTTTTCTTCACCCAAGTGTAAACATGGAGTAATTCAGTAAGTGGCAGGGTGCAAAGAAAATCACTTTCACAGCTTACCACTCGGGCAAGCTGACGCTAGCATTTACTAGCCCAGACGTCATTTTAACTAGCCCCAAAAGCTTTTTGATGAGCAGAATAGACCTTTTTACTGATACGGCGGCCATTTTGAATTAATTCGATTTAAGGAGTATTATAGGATGCCCAGGGGGCATGAGCTCATTTCCTTTGTATTTTCGAGCGCTTTTCAGAACATTTGTTCTTAAAGTTTTCTTAGAATAAGATTTTAATGAGGAAAAAGGTCCCTGTGCCGTGTTTGCATGTGATAGTGATCGCCTTTTTCCCGAGAAATATACGGTGAAAGACTATATTTTTAATACTAAACTAGAAAATGGCCATCATCATTACATCCAAACACGGCACAAGGATCTTCTCTCCCATTACAATCTTATTCTAAGAAAAATTTAACAAAAAATGTCCCGAAAAGCGCTCAAAAATACAAACGAAATGTGCTCATGCCCCCTGGGCATCCTATAATACTCCTTAAATCGAATTTAATTCAATATGGCCACCGTATCGGTAAAAAGGTCTATTGATTTCACAGTTCTTCTGTTATTCCAATTTGCTAAAAAAATATCACTTGCCCATCAGGCAAGTTAAAAACAGAATTCACTAGCCTGATAGCAAAATCCATTAGCCCCAGGCTATTGGACATTGCTTTCTTTGCACGCTGAGTGGACTACCACCTTTACATTACCTCTGTAAGAATATATTCTGGAGTTACTAAACTGAACTAGAATACAAGATGTATTATGTAGAACCAGATATGCTTTTAGGAAACTGTGCCTCCTAAGTTTCTCTTGCATGGGGTGGCTTATCTACTTGGTCAATCTAAGATACACCTTACAGGAAAAGTCTTATTTCACTATCAAAACTGACAGAAATCAAGAGCAAGCTTTGTAACTTGTAACTTACATTTACAAGAGCACCCAAACTTTTCTCTACACACTACCTGTGACTTGCTAGATAGCAGGTAAGCTGACCAGACAAAATATGGTGAATCTGTGAGCCCTTTCTGTTGTGGTGTGTGCTGTGTCTAATGTACTTTGGCCTTTTGTACTACAGTGGAACCTCGGCATAAAAAAGGGCCAGGTTCTGGTAAAATATGTTTGCCATAACAAGGCTTGGTTATATATCAAGGTTCTCTTCCATGAATTTTACTATTACTAGGACAAAGAATATCAGTCATTATACCCTGGGCTTCGTTTTAGAGAGGTTCTACTGTACATGAACATCATTTTCAATCTAATCATCAGCAACACTTCAGGGCTGGCAACTAAATTTAAAGACCTGGTTAACATTTCCAACTGGTGTGTCAACTTATGTTTAAAAAAGTTTCGAAAAACTTACCCCTCGACCTGCAAGTATATTTCATAACAGTAAATGCGTCTGAGGGAGGGGGAGGGGGGTGGAATGTAACAGATCTTTCATTAAAGTAAACCTATCTTAAATTATGAGCCAAGCAACAAGAACTATAAACCTTACCTACTTTACCTTAAATTAAACAACTAGAAAAAGGACCTCTCACGTTCTATCCGTCACATTACTGAACAACAGGGAAGCCCATTCCCGTACACTGAACTTAGAAGCAGTAAATTTTCCTTTACTTCAAAGGTGGATTTGTTCACATCCACATAGATCCATTCTTCGTAAACTTTGTTCACGTCAGCAGACAGTTCAGTTGATCGTTCCTTCGATGAGTCTGTCATATCATCTAAGTCTTGCTCTGTGATGATCACCATTTCGTCTTTGCTAAGCTCTTCATCACTGTCGACTGTGATCTGTACTGTTTCTTCTGTAACTTGAGTGATATCGATGTCAACGTGGTCTTCGTTTGGGTTATCGTCCACGTTAAGCTCAATGCTTTCAATCGTTTGTGTTTCTACACCGCTATCTGCCATGGATGACTTTGAATAACACAAATTCGGAGAGAGTTGGTAGCTGACTGTAGCTCCGAAAACGAAAGTCCTTGCCTTGGCGTGTTAAACAAAATTTTAAAATTGCCTTCTGTTCAATATCTCTAAAACCTGAAATACAGTTGTTTTCTGATAAATTATTTCCCGCAATATGAGAAACCCACGATCACTTCTGCTGCTTTCGACCGATAAAGTCTCTTTGAAAATCCTTGGCAAATTTACGTGACCAAAGTTACAACATTGTCGCCATCTTGAGTTTTAAAAAGTCAGGATCGATATGCTCGCCTCGTTTCCAGGCTCGTTTCCAAGTTACAGAATTCTCCTTCCAGACCCCTCCTTCCCAAAGCAGTTACTTCGCTTCGTCCTCGTTTGGAAATAAGACAAATACGGGTAGCTACGTAGATCAGTAAGCTTTAAATGTGGAAAACCCAAATCTAAGCTTTGAATTTGCAAATGTTTCCACGAAACGAATACCTGTGGTGAGCGCGTGTGACCATGAATCGTGACAGACCCGTGACGTTTTGACTCCGGATCCTAGAAAGGGGATAGTGTCCGGGAATTAAGTGATTCCCATGTGAAACAAGCGGGGTTGGCTCATTGCAAATAAGAAAGAGAGCAGCCTGGGCGTGATCCGAGTTTACCATTCTAAAAAAGCCCATGTTATCATACTTATGAAAAACCGGTTTGGGTCAGGTTCCTGTTTTGGTCTCTTATTGGGGTCTGGAGGAGGGGTGGGGGCTCCTGATCCCGCACTTCACAAAAATCTCTCATCCTGCACTAATTTTTTTTTTTTTCATCACTTTCCCAAATCCCGTTTTTCAGGTTCCAGTTGAAAATACGTAAGTTAAAAAGAAGGACTCTATGCTACAAAAGCTTATAAATAAAAGATTTAGATTGGCCCTTTCGATTCCATTGCAAAAAGGAAGTAGCTTTTCATACCTTGCTAAGACGAAGCGGACGAAACGAAAAGGGGAAGAGGAGGATGTTTCCAAACAGTGGGGTTTGATTTCTGTCCGCTCGTCTGTTGAGTATTTGACAATTGAGATAATTTTCTTTGATAGGAGACACTGTACGCTCACATGGTTGTTTCTCATTAGCCGCTAGAACGTACCATTTCTCGACAGACAGGCAGGAAAATCCAACATTCCCTGCCCAAATGCAGGTGAATCGCGCTTCCCGGGTAGCAGACAAATAACAAAACAGCAAAGACAAAAGCGACTTAAGGTGTCCCGATATTTCAGACGGACAATCCGTCCTTCTTCAGGGGATTTAATAAAGAATCCCGCAGTCAACTCGCGTTTCCCGTAAAGAAATCTTGCGTTTTCCCGAATCCCGCACTGTATTTTAGTCAAATCCCGGATTCCGAAAATGCCCTTCCAGATCCTGACTTCTGTTGTTAAATGATGCCTTCACACACGGTTTATCTAGCAAAACCCCAATTCATTTCTCAAGTCTTAAAAGATATGAAATCTCCAGCCTACACCATATATATATATACTAGCCTGTATAGCAGGGCTTGAAAATAATAAGGGCTCAGAAAAACATGTGCCCTGTTTTTCTTGAGCTCACATGCGAGGGAACCATTAACCGTGCGATGCGTATTGGCAGTGGCAGTAGTCGGCTCCTAGTAAAGGAAAATCACTCTCTGAAGCGGCCGCGATCAGTGTACATCGAGTTACAATTTAATTTTAATTATGATAAAGAAGTTGTCGCTAATCTTTTTGTCACCTTTCTTTTTTCTCTTCATGCAGAGCGGAAAACGATATCTGAGTATGTAAAAGAAATGGCGCTCCCGCTCTTAACACCTTAAGTTGCACCAAAGCAAAACAGAAATTGCTAATCTCCCAAAGGAGAAAACAAACATCCCCGCCCCTTTCATGTGGTATTCCCGCCAAACAAGGATGTGTTTGCCCAGTCTCACCAGTTAGCATAACGAGAAACCCCTAACGCTGCAAAAGGCCACACGTCTCACAGTTCTCAATTCCATAAATTTTAATGAACAATTTTTATAAACTCATCCTAGAAAAAAAAAGCTCAGTTTATTTCTCCTTAGCTTAAAACTCTGAAAACCAAGCCTAGAAGTCTCCATCAAGCGATGAGGTGTGAATGACTGGTCCCGCTTTGAAAATAAAACAAATTGTGCTCAAAATGTACAGGTGAAAATAGTCGAACAATCATTCAGCTGCAGTGGCATGTTTGTGTGACTGTTTTACATTATGGAACACTTTCCTCCCCTACCGCACATGCACTTCACAGTCTTCTCGTCCAGATCGTCGACGCTTCGCGAAAGTTCACGCCTTTGTTTCGCGATTGCAGGTTCCGCATTCAAGTCAACGTCCTCAAATTCCGTCTCTTCCAGGCTCATAGCATGTTCCTCTGGAGACGCGTCCGTCTGTTTTAATGTTAACGGTTCTCGAGCGACTTTATTTTCAAACACCAGGGCAGAAATTTCTGGTTTAAATGAAGATTTCACGACATCGTCGTGAACACTGTCCCTAGACGCAACACTTTCGCTCGATTTTCTGGTGGCGTAAAAATCTTTTCCCAGCGATGACTCGATCACAAACTTCGGTTTATCGCTTTTTGATTTGGATTTTGCATTCTTCGCAGCCTCCTTAGGTTTCTTCTCACCCTCAAACGGTGCTGTACCATATTTGTCTTTTTTGATGTCTTTTTTGGGTTGCTCCTTCTCCGGCTCCTTAGGCAGTGGTTTTTTCTCCTCTTCTATCTCTACCTTTTCTAGATCGGCCAGAAATTCTTTCTCAGGCTCTTCTGAGTTAGGACTGACGATTTTTCGTTGTCGACTACGCGACAGTCTAGCTTGTTGGGCGTATTCGCCTAAAGTATTAATACCAGGTCCTTGGTTCTTTGTCTCTTTTTTGTCGGTTTTTTCTTCAATCTCACTTTCAACGGCTGTTTTAGATGGAATAGAAATTTTTAAGTCTGAAACATTGGTTTCCACAGTTTTAGCATTCTCTTTCTTTTCCTCAGTTGTGCTTACACTCTCTTTAACGCCACTTTGTTCCACCTGCACGGAATCTTCTTTAGTAGTACTTACGCCTGTTTTGCCTAGTTTTGGCGGCGTTTGCATCTCGGTCGGCTGAAGAACTATTTCATCGATATTTATCTTTTCTTTAACATTTTCATTGTGGCCTTTCTCGGTGGTAATTTGTTTGTCTTCTAGTTTGTCTGGAGCATAGCTCTTCAAAACCTCACTGATCAAATCCTCGGCCTCTTTGGAATCCAACATTTTTAGTCCTTTCTCGCGCGCTAGCTCTTCCTGCTCCAGAATCTCTCTTTCTTGCCTTAAAAATTCATCGTCTTCTTCTATATCTGCGCCGCTCGTCACCTCCATCGGTTCGTCTCGCAGCAGTTGCTCAACTCTCTTAGCTTCGGAAAAGATGTACTTATCCAAGGGTGACTCCGTAGCGTCCTTGCGTATTGGAGTACTAGGAGGAGTGCTCGGTTCAGCTGGGCTCGAACTCTCTCTCTCCATAGACGGCTGCCTACCTCCAAGGGTTGGTATCGATCGTTTTGGCTTGGAAGCAGCAGCTTCGTTTGCGTCAGGAACATTCGATCTGGGCGTTGTTGCCAGCTTGGGAATTTTGTTTTTAGACTCCGTAGGAGACGACGCCATGGGTATTCCTGTATGCGCAGGAATTTTGGTGCCTTGAAGTTGCTCTCCTGGCTTTGGTATCCCACTTGTTTTAGGTGCGGTTGGTAATGAGCTTGGTGTAGACTTGGTTGAGAGCTTAGGCTCTGGAATCTTGGATCCCCCAGGAGGTGGGACTTTAGACTCGAATGTCTTATTTGGAGTAGGGGAAGAAGGGCTTGGAATGTGAGACTGGGTCACAGATGGTCCATCTGTTTCCAACACTTTGGAACCTCCTAGGGTGGGTAGCTTCGATTCTGTAACTTTATTTAAAGGTTTCGTGGAAGGTGGAGGGATGCGCGACTGAGAAGAGGCGGAGTCGGCTTTTTTTAACGGCGTTGGTGACTTGGTGAATGATGGGATTCGACTGATACCCATTGGGATACCTGTTCCCTGCTGAGTGTGAGCAGGACTTGATGCCTTACTTCTATTGGAGTCACTTACAGGGGAATGCATGTCCGTAGTCCCGTTCTGTGTCGATGGGACGCTAGTTTGGCTATCCTTACGTGGTACCGAAGGAATTTTAGGCTTGACGTTAGCCCCTTTACCAAACGAAGGGATTTTACTAAATTGCTTGACTGATTCGTGTCCATTTTCAGAGACAGTAGGGTCCTTGTTTTCTTTAGCTGAATCAGGCCTACTTTGTTGTGGCGCAGAGGATGGAATCTTGCTGGCTGGTTTTTCTTTCTGTGAAGTGCTGTCTTTACGTCCTACAGAAGGAATCTGCGATTTCTTAACTGTTTCTTGTCCCTTATCAGCTTTACTCAGGGATGGGATCTTACTCTTGGGAGGGGTGCGCTCTTCAGCGCCATTTTGTTTCGCCAGGGAAGGAATACGAGATGGAATCTTTGACATTTCTGAACTGCTTCCGGAACGGCAACGAGTTTCTTCGATTGAACTTTTCGACGGTGATTTACTCAGTTGATTTGAAGGCAAACTTTTGTTACTTGATGACCGACTTATGTTGCCCACGGTATTTTCAGAAGTTACAACCGGGCTGTCAGTTCTAGATTGGCCTCTTGGTCGGACAATATCACTTTTTTCTCGCCTTAAACCTGACGGTGAACGACGTCTTGTTAAGTCACTGGTTTCGCGTTGAAGACCAGCTGGTGACTTTGATCGAGGACTCGATAAACCCTTGTCTTGTTTAAGACTAGCGGAAGAGTTTGACCGCGCGGGTCTCGGAATTGAAGAAACGTTAGCGGGAGATTGCGCACGACGAGGTTTGGCAACAATATCGCTCTTTTCGCGACGTAGATTGCCGTTTCTAACAGTGTCCTGCGAAGGTCGAGATGGGGCACCACCAAGCGCCCTCGATTCACTTGTCTTCCTGGGTGTAGAAAAACTGGCGCTTCTTCGTGGCCGAACTGGTTGTTTACTCTGAGCGTTTTCCTGTTTACTAGGGCCTTGATTTGAGGGCCTACCAACAGGTTTTACTATGCGCGCCTTACTCTGATCTTGCGCACCGTTCTTGACTTGTATAAACAATGGATACCTACTGGAGGGTTCGTCTGATTCCTGGCAATTATCTGGGGCAAAATCAACGATATCACTAGGTTGATGGGTACTACAACTTCCGTTTGATACCGGTGATCGTGGGCAGTCAAGTGCAGTTTCTCCGTTACAAACCACACCGTTTAAGTGCTTGGCTTCAGTCTCGCTGTGCTTCCTTAGTTGGCTAAAGTCTCCAGACTTGCGCCTTAAATTGGGTCGTTTCCTGAGTCCTACATCACTTTGGCTCCTTTTGACCTTCTTTGGTTCTGAGGTTCTTTTGGGTGGGGCTGGTCTAAACTGGGGAACGATCTCTACTGGGGTGAGGCCAAAGCTTGGTCCAGCACCAAAGATAGCAGAAGCGTTGCGTCCTCTGCACGATGACGGATCAGGGAGACTAGAAACGAAATAAGAACAATAAGACCAAAATGAACAGGGTTTAATCTTAATATTTTAATCTACGGATACATATTGTTCTTACAAAATGAGTAACCAACACTATGCTTGCATTGAAATAAGCCTCTTCAATGATACGTTCTCATGGTACGCTTGTTTTGTGTTTTGCTACAGTAAAACATCAGAATCACTGAAGTCACCAAAGGAAAACCCATTCCCGTCTACTCAACATTGGTCTTTAGAAGATAAAGGTAGGAATTGTATGGCTTTCAGTGTCCTCGCTGCAGAGGTATTTTTTACCATGATTGTACGCTTGTGAACAACTCCCGCCGGGTCCGGCGGGACACTATAGCAGCATTGTTTTGCCAATTACTGTACGTCCCAGTTGTACTCACAGGGCAGCGGTTAACACAGCTGGCCATGATCGTAAATAGCTAGCTGTAATGTGTCGATCACAGCATTTCAAAGAAACAAGCATTCCTTTTTTTTTTTTTTTTTCATTTACTTTAAGCCAAAAACACAAAAGCACTATCTACGTTACAAATTAGGTTTTGGAAAACAAAATGCTATTCTCGAGCTGTAGTACTGGAAGTAAAATAATGAGAAAAGACAAATTTAAGGAGAAATGTTTGTTTATTTTATATCTTCAGCAGTATAGTATAGGCCTACTAAGTCACGCTGTACAGTGATGCAAAGTAATTTATGCAGTAATAACATAAGATACAAAATAAATCGCATGGTATGAAAATTCACTAATGAAAACCTCTTTGAAAGTTCTTTCGCCGCACAGTCGCTTCTACTATTTGATTTCTTACAACTTGAAATGTGTTAACTTGATTTGATTATAGGTTTATGCATTGTTAGGAATGAAAAGGGTTCAAAAGTAAAGCTCTAATTAGAACTCCCACAAGGCTCCTTTGGTTTATCTTAATTGATTTACGGAAGGCATTGAATAGAACGCACGTGGTTAAGTCCATCAATTAAACTTCGAATTGTACTAAGTCTAATGAACCACATCACAAACAATCAAAGATTACTCGAACAGAGACCGCTTTACTAACGAACAATGCAAAAATGCAGTATGATACAAAAATGAAACCTTCTAAATGCTTTAAGAAACACAAATTCATCATTTTCACACGCGACTGAAACTCTTTTTGTACATTTACATAAGGCGTGTTATTCCAGTTAATTTAACTACAAAAAGTGAGACGTTAAAATGTTGTCAGTTTCACCGCAAAATGGCATGTGTCAGAAAACAGCAAAAAACTCAAACAATTTTCGTAGAAAAAGAAGTAGGCCTGGGAAATTATACTCGAGAATTTCAAAACAAAGAAATTGCGTTATTAAATCTCAGTTAAAAAGAAAAGGTGTCAAATTCTTATGATAATATCAGACAGCAAAAATCATGCACTTTCAATGAACTCTTTTCAAGAACTCAAGTACTTCATAGTTAAGACAAACAAAGATAGCAAACAAGACCTAGAAAGGCATTGATTTAGAAATTATCGAAAACAGGCAAGACTTCCTTTTGTTTGAATATATCAAACGTTTCTAAAATTAAACTCATATATTTAAGCGCAAAAAATCGATTTACCTGTCGAAATAACTAATATTAATAATGGTCAGTAGCTTTCGAGAAGCAAATTTTTCAGTTTAATGCCGGCGCTACATTCTAGATGATAACATTTGTTCTTGCTAAAATATTCGTTGACACAAGGTAAAAATGTAAATACACAATTCCCCAACCATAAACTAACAATGTTTCGGTATCTCGGCAGTAAACAATTGCATGACTCAAGATAAAATGCTGGATATTGTGCTTACTTATTTCTGAGCCTTTCTTTTTTGGTGAAGAATCTGGAAAAATGCGCGCGCAGTATGAGCAAATTTCGCGTTGGCAAAACGCTCTTTCGCTGCGTGAAACAATTTTTTCTAAGCTATTTTCAAAATTATGGCCTCGACGCATTGGGGGCTACAAGTAAAACTCTCGTTTGTTCGTTAAACAGGGAGACTTTTCCCCAGGCGACTGAAAAAAACACGTTTCAGACTTCGGCAATCTAATCTCGTAGTTTTCCTTAATTAGAGTGTTCTAGACTGACGTCTACCGTACCGAGCTCAGAAAACAAATCTGATTTCGCCAAATCAAATTGAAGCCTTCACCTGTCAAAACAACGTAATATTTCCTCATTCATCTCAAGTACTGACTTTTTCGATTTGGATTTAACTGCCATATTATCTAATACTTAAAAAAGAGAGAAAACTGATAAACGTTCATATCGACCGATTTCATACGATATTATATCACTGACATGTAGTAGGGAAGAGAGCTACACCATTTTATTCTAAGATTGTATAATCGATTCTATGATTCGAGTCTTTTCCTCGCGCAATGAGGAAAGCGTTAAAAATATATACAATCTTACTTACGGTTCCGCAAGTTTTTCCCAGAAGGAAGCCATGTTCTATGAAACCGCGATGAAATCGCTACTGCGACAGTAGCTTCAATGAACGTGTCAGTGGCTTTGACCATCAAATTATCTTTTCACTTGGTTCACTTGAAGCAGCCATTGAATTGAATCAAAGTATGTTTCCAAATCATTCCCTTGAGTGCCAGCAAAGAAGAAGGCTTTGTAATTACGAGTTCTCCTCAATGCGAGTCATCACGTCGCTTCCACAACAAACACGGAAACCTCACATCCCGACGTTCAGTCATAACACAAAATGTTGGCCAAAATTTCTCGAAACCGCGCGAAATTATGTATTTAAACGTACGGCAATTCGGTCATTCGCTGCGGTCTTGTCTCGCCTGGTAGATTTTTTCTAAATATACGACTGACTGCGTCTACTTTAAAAAAGAAAGAGAACCTATTTACATTTTGAACAGGCTGGGATATATGCACACCCGGACCTATCAAAACCTAGCAACAAACAATGCCAATATATTTTGACCATTTGGGTGCGCCCGACCATAGCGTTGAATTATTAATCAAGCAGAAATATATCAAAGGAAAGAGAATCTACCACTGCGACTTGTTAAAATACTAATCTTTAAGTAATGCTGTTGGGAGTAACCAAACTTTTCATCTGTTTTCTGTGAAAGAAATTTGTTCAAATAGGCGGCTGCTTTTTTACGTCCAAACATTTCGTTCGCTAATATTTAAGCCTATTTATTCATTCGAAACACATTAGCTGATAAGAAGCGTGACTGGTATCAAGTGGATGTCGCTCAATTGCGCGCATTTAGATTCACGTTTTAACCTGCTGTCCTCAAAATGTTTGCCAAATATTATATTTGCAAATATATATTTTAATCAAAAAATGGTATTTTGCGACCACATAGCCGCTAGTTTTGTCAAAAAAGAGTTGCTCTTGATCAAGTCTTTCTAAGCATCCTATTTGCATGAAGTTACATGAAAACATTTAGTTACATCAATGTAAAGAGAAAGCAATTTCGACTCATACCGTCATGGCGTCATTACTTAAAGTTGAACTTCTGGACCCTTTCTAAGCTGACGCACTACGAGTGAAACATTATTCTCACGCAAATCAGTGATACTCTTTCTACCGCAAGAGTGTCTAATTTGTACATCTTTAATCAAAACTCGCCGCTATTTCTATCCTAACACCCCTCTTAATAGGTCTGTTCGGGGCATGAAATTATCTTTAACACAGCTCGGCAACCATATTTTGCGAGGCATCTCGTGCATCACATTATTTTGTTCGCTTACACGGAAATAGACTATCTTTGGCCACAAAAACACATGAACGCAAATGAGAGAACGTGCTAAACAAAAGAAAAGTGAGAAATACGTCACAGAACGGCTGTATTACTCTTGTGCTATCCTATTCAATACATCCACTACCTCGCGCACGAACTAGCACTTGAAATCTTTCGCGCACTTCCGCTCATCTACATTCTGACTTGATCGAAAAAACTTTGACTTACAACCCGAGAACATTTGGGTCTTAAATATAATCCCCGCATATAGCTGCGCAAAACAATCGTTTCCTTCTTCATCAAATTAATCTCGACGCAAAGAAAACTTTAAACTTTGCACTCCAAGTTGCAAACTTTTAGACCCGATCAAACAAATCGGTTGGAAATAAATCGCGTACTTACCTTATCTGTTTAAAAGGAACAGGAACAAAACGCCGCGAGTTTGGAGCAACAAATTCACACGGATGAACGGTGTTTGGGTCAGGCCTTTGAAGTACGGTGGGTCAATCGAAAAATTTGTCTACATGCACGCTGACAAAGACACAGTTATGCAAATGAGAAGCATTTTGCGACAAGTTTTCACTTTGTACGGAAAAACGTCACCCACCTAGTGAAAAAGAACCAATCACCTGCCAGTATTGACAAGTTTACATGACTTAACGAGGCTTTGTGTGTTTGTAAATTGAAGGCGAGAACAGGAAATTGATTATTCTGTAGGTTCCGCAATATTATTCTTACAATTTCAGGCCCAATATCAAAACAAAATATATTACTTCCTACGTAGAAGAAGGTATCACAGGTAATTTTTTGGTATACTTCGAAAAAACAAACACATGGACACATGTTTACAGGTGCCTGTGCCATTCTACGACCCTCCTCTATTTCTTTCGAAAGCAGAATAGCCGCCGCCCGAAGGATTTCACTTTCTGTGGACTCTCAATAAATTAAGCAAAGCAAGACGAACTGATATAACGGTCCTTAAACCCTTGATATTCTAAACAAACCATTTGACCTGTTTATATTGAAATCTGTCAAAAAACACACAAACAATAGGCCATGTGGGCTGAGGCTTTGTATTCTTGCTCGGCCCGACATTCGTCAGATCTAAATATAGTCTCAGTTTCTTTTTTAGTTTTTAGTTGGAGGGCGTACATTAATTGGACAGTTATATTACTTTTCCATTGCGATTTTGTCAGAAAGACTTTGTGGTTTTGAACCCGATAAACGGGATTTGATTTCAGGCCCAGTTTTAACACAAAACGTTTTTATTTTTTTTTTACCTGATTTCGTAACAAAATGATCGTTTACTATGGCAACCCCGGATAACCCAAAGAATATCAGTGATCTACATAAAATGATTTTTCAAAGCCTTAGAGAAGTAACCAGTTGTTTACCATTTACAAGTTTCCGGAAAATCCGGTTGGAAAATAAATGAAGCAAGACTTTTCGGGTCTTTCCAGTGGAAAATTTCCGGGAGCAACGAAACTTCAGAAAGTGAAGTCCTCTTCCGTGGTCGAAGTGCTTCAAACAATAAACGGAATTTTGAAAAAAAAACTGCATGATCATACAACAACCCTCATGTAGATGCCAGACTGCTTGCAGTACGCCTTTTCACTTAGATCCGTCGAGTTCTCAGACTGGGTTAGCGAGTACGCACTAAAAACGCCTGCAAAAACGTTTTTAGCGTTTTTTCTTTCCTTCTCGGGCTTACGCCCTCGTTTCTCGTGGCTAGCGCCTACTAGAGTGACTTTGAAGAAAATAAGAGACTGATCGTCCCGTCAAAAGAATTTTCAGCCTGTACAAAATTAGCCTGCGTGCAGACGATAACCCTGACTAAACTCTGATTAGTTTAATTTCGTCTGCGCGCAGGCTAGTACAAAATTAGCCTGAGGGTACAGGGTACCGCCCCCTCGAGCCGAATAAACCAAACCGACATCTAGAAAGAGAAAAAGCTTGTCCATTGTTTGATTGTATGTTATCTTAAGTATAGTATGCGAACGCAGTTGAGGCAAATTAAGAAACGTAGATATTTGGGATGTACATATTTCCTTTTTTCGGAGCTACATGAAACTGAGATTTGCATCAGGAACTAAGGGAATCGCGTGGGCAAAATACTCAGACGTGAAAAGCATACTCTACTATATTATCATGCAACCTGGTAATGCGTAAGCATTTATAATGCTGGATAATAAATTGAAAAGTTGTCGTATAAAGAGCGAGGAGAAACGGATGTTTTCGCAGGCTATATAAAAAATAAATTTGAAAAATCTTATAATAGTGGTTAATTATCACCTTCTGTGATGCCGAGTGTGATGTCATTGCTATTTTATATATATTTTTTAAAAATATACGAATACATTTTGTCGGCCTTAATAACTAGTGGCCCGTAAAACGAATCTATGGGAGCAGTCTGGAGGTTTTTACCTCACATGAAATTCAAAACATGTCGTATTAAAGCACGATCTAAGGCAGACAAAAACATGACCAAATAATATGATCCCGTTGACTCTGTTAAAGTGTTACATCAAGGACCGAAAAAAAACGAATCGCTAGGGTAGCCAGCTTTGTAGAACACTTTGAAAAAACCTCTTAAAGTCGGACTAAACGATGAGGCCGGTCGATCAGGATGATTGCCTACTGAACACCTCAATCGAAACAGAAACTACAGCCCAGCTACAGAAACAGATCTCTATATAATGGTCATGACAGGAGGAACTCCCCTATTAACCAGCAGTAAACAGTCTTATATGGTAAGATCTGAATGAAAATTATTAAGTTGAATATTTGGATATATCAAGTAATTGGTATTTTGTACACTAAAACACGAAGTGATTTCCTCAGACAGGCAGCTTGAATATTATATACATAGACAAAGATTAATTTAGGTAAATAGACAATACCAAAGTAATAAACTGACCTTCGTTCTCTCTCTCCGAATGACGCCAGCATCACGGAAAGAAAAATATAACTGCTGACCAAAATTTCAAACCTCACGAGTTCAATTTTCTTGAAATTTGTACCTCTGTATAAGATAAGCGTGTTGTTGCAAATCTCAGCGCGTAATAACTGTACGATTAGACATAACACACAAAGGTCGGTCCACAATCAAGATTATAAAAAGATTTGATCCGACGTTTTGAAAGCCGATGCCCCTATCATGTCAATCATCGTATTACGGGGTTTATATTTATCACCTGGACATCGGAGATTAGACAAAAGTATTTCTAATTTTATGAGATCTTTAATTTGCACAATGAAAAGGGAAGTCAATTTTCTGTGACGTTTTCGGGATACTAGACTTTTGAAACTTTCATGACTTGGACCATTTTTTCGGCCGTACGAGGGGGTATCTGTTCTTCTAAACGAAAAAAAACCGCGATACATTCGACTAACAAAACCGAATTTCCTAACGTGTCTAACTAAAGGTGAGTGGTGCAAAAAAAACTTATCAAAAAAGATAATTAAGTGAAGTAATCTTAAAAGGCTTAACCCTTCCGATCTGTTCGAGAAGGCTTCAATACTACATCAAGAGTCCTTGATAAACGTATCTTGAACGTCACGAGGATCGTATCTTTTATTTTCACTGGAAATTTTTCCTTCTCTCCCTTTTTACTCCCACACCCCTAGTAAGCGAGCATAGGACGTACATCTCAAACGTACTTGCGCAATATGAATTTATTGGTGTCGGTTTAGCATTTTAGCCTCGCTTCAACTAAGGTTATCTCGGATGAAAACAAAACAAACGCGCGCAAAGCACACTGGTTGAGAGGGACCCTTTAAAGCAGACTCGAAATGAGGCAATGCACTTCTTTTGGTGACACAGTGTCAAGTTTGCCATTGCTTTGTGTTTTGTGATTCTGTTTTGAGTTTTGTGATTCTCAGTTGGGTTTTGCGATTCTGTTTTGGGGTTTTGTGATTATGTTTTGGGTTTTCTGTTTTCTTTTTTTCCTATCGGCCACCGTATTCAACTATCTCTTCTCTCAGGGAGGAGCTAGTCAGAAATTTTCCGAAGGGACTAGAATGAAATAGGAAT